TAGACGTGATAAAAAAAACTTCAATTGTTAAATTTAAAATTTACCCTACATATATTCTAAAAATTTGTGTGAAAAGAGACTACGGCCAACCCGTATCCCGTACTCAATTTACTGCGGACAAAAGAATATAGTCGGTTAAGAGAGAAGAGACTGATTTGGTGGCTAACTGGGCATCAATGCTTCCATTAATGCTTCTACGGGTGAGGTGGTAAGCCTTCGTCGTATATAGGGATAGAGTTAAAATTTTTGAATTATAATGTTAAAATTAAATAAAAAAGTGATATTATTATAATTTATTAAATGAATTCGGTGATTAATATAGTGTTATTTTTTGGCTTAAATATACAAAATGTGTTCAACGTATGCTTATTTTTTCAATTTAGTGTCTAATGTTTTTTTGTTCTAATTTGATGTCTAACGTTTTATTCCGATACTCAAAATGGGTCACGCCGTGACGGACCGTTAGTTTTCTCTGTTAAGCGTATCATAATATGGTAATTTTAAAAATTTTATTTAAAATTAAAAAACTAAAATTATATATTTTTTTGAAATAACCCCAAAACTTTGAAAATCTTCATTTCAACCCAATAACCTTTAACTCCATCACGAACCACCCTTCTCTGACCGATGGTGGTGTACACCGCCGCTCCCACCGAACTCAGCAGCAATCGACAACCTCAACCTGACCCTTAGATCACCTGAAATTGGTCACCTTCGAGCTTAATCGCAAGGAAACCATTCGGTCGCCCACCTCCAACCTTAGCCACCGCTCGTCGGGAGTCATCACCGCCTAGCCCAGTGGAAGCGCCATCCCGGACCGGTCATAGCCCAGTCATCCACTCACTACCGTTCGTGGTGGAGTGGCGTTTGAAAGTCCGACGAAAAGCCCCCATGATCGTTCGATTTTTGCGATTTCTGGCCGAAACAACCGTCTTTCCGTCTCACCGCCACCGAAGCTGAGCTCGTCGTTCCTGTCCGACCAAAACCCAACCGGTTTGGTAAGCCACCATCATCAAGCGGACAAGCTTGGAAGAGGGGCGACCGAACGGTTCAGGAGTTATGGGCTGAAATGACGGTTTTCAAAATTTTGGGGTTATTTCAAAATTTATGTTTTTTAAAAAATATATATATAATTTTTTTAATTTTAAATAAATTTTTTAAAATTACCAGACATTTTTATTAATAAGACATGTTACAATTTTTATTATTTTTAAATTTTTTTTGAAATATAATGAAGAGTGATCTTTTCTATTCTTTGAAGATAATCGAATTTCTGTTTGTGAACAGTACGAAAGTATGGAAATCGAATTCAATAATAATGGCTGGGTTTTTGTCAGGGTTTGTTATGAACAAGTGTTTTCTTTTAATGCTTTAGTCTAGAATCTCTAGATTTTTTTGTTGATATTGCTTTTCTGCTGTAACGAAAATTTGTTATTAAGCAATAGAAATCAATGGGTTTACTTTATTTTTTAATATTAGGAGCTATGATTCGTCTGTTTAAAGTAAAGGAAAAGCATAGAGAACTCGACTCTGTTACAATTTTCGTTATTTTTAATTTTTTTTAAAATAACATCAAAACTTTGAAAATTTTCATTTCAATCTCTAATCCCTAAACCGTTTAGCCGCCCCTCTTCCAAGCTCGTCAGCTCGGCGACGGTGGCTTACCAAACTGGTTGGGTTTAGGTCGGACAGGACCGGCGAGCTCAGCTTCGGTGGCGGTGAGACGGAAAGGGTGGTGGTTTCGGTCAAAAATCGCAAAAATCGAACAGTGATGGGGGCTTTTCGTCGGACTTTCAAACGCCACTCCACCACGAACGGCGGCAAGTGGATGACTAGCCTATGACTGGTCCGGGACGGCGCTTCCACTGGGCTAGGCGGTGATGACTCTCGACAAGCGGTGGTCGAGGTTGGAGGTGGGAACTGAATGGTTTCCTTGCGATTAAGCTCGACGGTGATCGATTTTGGGTGATCTGAGGGTCGGGTTGAGGTCGTCGGTTGCTGCTGAGTTCGGTGGGAGCGGCGGTGTACACCACCACTAGTCAGAGAAGGGTGGTTCGATGACAGTGTTAAAGGTTAATGGGTTGAAATGAATGTTTTCAAAATTTTTGTGTTTTCTTTTTTTTAATATATATATTTTTAGTTTTTTTTATTTTAAATTTTTAAAATTATCATATTGTGACATGTGTCATTTAATGGAGAAAACTAACGTTCCGTCATGGTGTGACCCATTTTGAGTAATAGAATGAAACGTTAGGCATCAAACTGAAACGAAAAAAAGTTAGGCACTAAACTGGAAAAACAGCCATACGTTGGGCACCTTTTGTATATTTAAGCCTTATTTTTTATAGTCTTAAGTTTGAACAGTTACGTATACAAGATGTATATACATAATTAATAATTAAATATAATTATGAACAAATAGTACTACATATCAAACTATTAAAAGAATATTATTAAATTTATATTTTAATAATTTTATATAAAATTTAAAAGCAAAAAGCACGTGAGGCCCTTGTAATTTTCATAAAAAAGTTAACGTCACATTCAGACTATTTTTTTTAGTCAATGTGATCCTCAAACTAGAAAAAAAATTAATGTAATCTTTTGATTAAAAATTTACGTTGTTGGATGTTATGATGTAGATGTGACACTTCACAATGGTGATATGATGATCTACAACACTGATGTGGTGGTCTATTATAATTGATGATGTGGTTGATAACGTGATAGACTGGTCAAATTGACATTTTTAATTGAATTTTAGGGTTAAATTAGTTTTTGTAAAAGTTTAGAAGTTTATTTAATTTTTTAAGTTTGACGGTTACAATAAATATAAAAATAATTCGATAACTATATTATTTTTAAAAAAATACAAAAACTTCGTGTGTCTTTTTGCTAAATTTAAACTTGATTGGCATGTTGGTGAATCGAATGTAGCACCTGCGGGGCTTGGACTCTCGCAAATAGCCGCACCGATGTCGGATGCAAGGATGGATTAAGAGAAATAGGTGAAATAGTCTTTTTTGTAAAACTTTTTATATATTTTTAAATATTTTTTATTAAAAATATATATTTATTTTTAAAATTTTATAAATTTATCTGTTAACGTAAAATTATACGCGGTCTCTAGTGGGATGCCTTACATAAGGGTAGTGCCAATGTTTCTTTAAGGGAACCAGTTCTTTATGTTACCCAAAAGAAAATGTATAAAAATGGTTAAAGTATTTAGGGAGCGTTTGATTCACGTAATGTAAGATTATCAGTGAGAATAAAAGATTACCAAGGAATATGATTACTGAGAATGTTGTATTTTGTGTTTGGTTGATTTAGTATGAATGTAAGATTACCGTGTTTGGTTAAAGGAATAAAAGATTATTGGAATATATATTTTATCAAATTGTCCTTATTATATATTTGTTTTTAACAAGTTGAATTCTACTATAATATTACTATAATTAATTTATATATTTTCTTTAAAAAATTTAAATTCATAAAATTTATATAATTTTTTTATAAAATTAAAAAGATAAATAGGTTTAATGAAATGGTAAAATTTTATTTTAACTCCTAAATTTCATATAAAATTCTAATTATGGACCTTTTTTTTAAATCTAAAATAGTTTAAGGATAAATTTGTAATTTAACTTTCGTAGAATTTTTATTATTCAACGACAGAAGAAAAAAAAATTTGAAAGAAAAAAAATTAAGGACATTTTAGTCCAAAATGACGGTAATCCAACAATACCTAAACGAAGGGATAATCACATTACCGATAATATACTCCAAAAAATTTTCTTTTAATAATAAATGATTACCGAAAATAAAATTACCGATCAACTAAACGAAAAAATAAATATTTCATTTCCCGTAATATCTTATGCCGTAAACGAAACAGCCTTAGGGAATGGTGTAAGAAAGAGAAACCCTAGTCAAAGGGTTTCCCCACGTGCAACTGTGTTACCAACTCTCTACTTTCTACTCTTTTCTCTTTATGCAAAAATGGATTGGGCTGGAATCTTTTATATATGCAACTGTAAAATTTTCGACTTGGAATAACAAATTTTACTTTGATTTTGTTTTTTAATCACATCTATTTAATTATTAAACTAATATATATCAAATATTAAATATTGATCTTAAAATAAAATTTTTAATTTAACTTTTTATTTATAAATCAAAATTTAGATCTCGACGTTATTATTAAATTTGAATATTTTGAATTTCGATAGCTAAGTAAATTTATTCGTAAAGTATATATATGGTCTATTAATTATAAGGTGTTGTTTTAAGGTGTTTTTTATCATTAAAAGTTATAAAATAGTCTTTCGACTATAGAGCGTTGTTTTATTGAGTCCCGAATATTAAAAGTCACATAACGGTTATCCAACTATTCATATGTTCCAAATTCATCTATTTCTATTAAAAAATTGACGACAGTCTGAGCTGAATGTTAATATGTCGATTGAGATATGCTAAAATCCAACCCCATAATCTCAAATAACTATCATATCTTAGTCAGAATGTTAACGTCAGGCTCAGGCAACATTTAATTTTTTTTATAAAAGAAATGAATTTGATACATTCGAATAGTCGATTGACAATTTTGTAATTTTTAATAATCAAATAGCTCAACAAAACAATATCATATAATCATAGGATAATTTTATAATTTTAATTGTCTGGTGATTCAACAAAACAATCTTATAATCAGGGATCATTCGTTTACTTTATCCTAAATTTATATAGGGTAATATTTGAATCTAGAGATTTCAATGTTTAAGCCAAAATTTTACTAGCCTATTCAAACTTAAAACATAGATATAAATAATTGAACTTGGCAAAAATTATGCTCAAACGGGTAATCAATCTCGTGTGATTTATTGGCAGAAAATTTGTTCAGGCTTCAACCCAAATCGAATTGGATTACCCGTTTTCACACTGTAATTACTATATAATGTATGATAAGTCAAGTCTCTCCATTTGATTGGTTTCTATTTTTCTTTTCCTGGAAAAACCCCTTTGATCAGTTCTTCTTTTTGCTTATCTATAATTTTCTAATCTCCCAACACCTCTGCAACTCTAATCTTGCTTCTTGCTCCTCTTGTTTATGGAGAATCAAGATCACGGAAACTATCACTCCCAAGGTCTTTCTTTTCCTTTTCCTATTGTTTATATGTTTTGGTTTTTATTTTCATTTCTTTAATCATTTTCTGGGCTTGTTGAAGTTTTTCTCCGGGGAATAAATCTTAGTTTTCTCGTTTTTTATAGAAAAAAAAAATTGGGTTTTGTTTTCATGGATTTTTCATTGTTTTCTAGGCTGGTTGAATTTGTTTTACTTTAAATTTAAATCATTTTTTTCATATTGTTTCCAAATTAACTTTATTTTTCTTGCTTTTGGTTCTGATTATTGATTTTTTCCCCAGAGAAACCGATTTCGATTTTTTCTCTCTCTGTTCTAATCTAGTTTGCCATTTTGGTGAATGTAGTTGATGCAAAGATCATGCAACGGCGTCGTTCGGAGAAAGGTATCGGAGGAATAGGAGCAACGTCCACTAGATCTGAAGACGAAGTATTTTCCGATGCGGTGACGGAATTTCAAGACACCGGGTTTGATTTGGATGCGCATAATGCCGGTGAAGATAACAAGTTTGCTGACAAGGATCTTACGCCCGCCATTTCTTTTAAAGATTGTGAAGATATTGGTAAGTTTTTATGATTCCTTAACAACAATTATACTGATTGTCTACATTAGATTGTGAAGATATTGACAAGTTGTCATGATTCCAATAGGGAAATGGTTAGATTTTTCAGTTGTTTTTATATATGAAAGATCTTCGGAATCCCATCCTTGCACAGGCATACTTCCGACAAAAGTTGAAAGAAGTTGCTTGTCCGTTCGAGATGCTATTCTATTGATCTGATTTTAACAACTCGGTTTCATTTACATATGCAGGGATCCTTAGATCACCTCTGAATTCAGCTGACGGGAGCCAAAAGGAAAATCCGGTTCTGAAAAGCATGCCTATTCTCCCGACAGACGCGCCTGAGCATAATGATGTTGGCCTGAGCTATGGTAGAGATTCTGAAGATAAAAATGGTTCTTCTGGTGATGTGGTCTCGATCAAAATGGAAACAGTAAAGGGTGTATCGGAAGAGAGTAGGGAAGCCGGTGCTGATGCCAATGAGAATGAAGACAGCAAGCCAAACGAAAATCTATCAAGTGACTCGGTTGAGCCTGGCAAACATGGTGGCGAATTATCTGAAACGGAATCTATTATGGAGAAAAGTCAGGATGTAACTTCAGATATGGTTCAATTGAAGGAAGATTGTAGTGATAAGTTGTCTTCTAATACACCTATGAGCGGAAATGGTGAGCAAGAGACGGATGGAAAGGGAAACCCCGGAGTTACTTTCGAAGAAAATCTAATGGATGCAAGTTTAAAATCCAAAAGTACTGAGGATTTAACTTCTGAGACTGGTTTAGCTGACAAAACCGTTGAATTAGAGGAGAATAGTGACAAATTGGCCCTCAACATGGTCGTTGGTGATCTTTCAACAAAAGCCGAGTCCTCAAAAGATATTAATGTGCCAACAGATACCTTTGAAATACAGACTGATGCTGCACGCGTTACAGATTCGTCCATTGATGTTGATTCAAACAAGATTGAAGAGAAAAAGGAAAAGGAAAAAGGAAGTGTTTATGTGCTCTCTGTTCCCGATGATATTCCTGTTGTAGATGATGCTGAAATTAAGCTAGTTGGTTTTAAAGATCATAAGGGAGTTGAGTTATTCCAATCCGAGGCCTTAGCTTCGGAAGAAATAATCCTTGATAAGGAAGATGAAGTCAAAGACTGTGCTTCACGGGAGAAATCCGATACTTTTGTGTCGAATCCAATGGATGAAGACATCGTTACGGAAGATAGCTATAAGCTTGGTCTAAATAATGAAGCTATCGTTAAAGAACTGCACTTTATCGGGAATGCTGATGCAATTCAGATCGATAGAGGGTCAGATGCACTGTCTCCTGTTGATGCTGATTCAACTAAGAATGAGGACGAGGAAGTTTGGTTCCTCGAAGAACAAAAGCCGGTTTATGTTGCTGGTGATTTACATAAAGGCTCCAATGCATTTTCTCCTGTTGATGCTGTTACAACCGAGAATGAGAAGGATCAGGAAGTCCAATCTCTCAAAGAACAGCAACCAATTTATGTTGCTGATGACTTACATCGGACTGGTTTTCCAGGAAGCATGATAAATGATGTACCTGATGCGAAACCTATGGTTACAGATGCTGATGTTGGGGCTGGAAAGTTAGATAATGTAGTCGGAGATGAAAATAATACTAAAGACATGGGAACATCATGTGAATTTGATAATAGTTATTCGCGTACTAATCCAGCATCGGACTTGCTTGAAGTTGATGATTCTGATGATGCCAGGACAAGAAAAACCCAAAAGTTCGATATCAATGAAGATGAAGGCAGGGATGGACCAGACAAGGGACACGTTTCAATGAATACTGAATCTACATCCGAATCGATTAGCACTCATCACCAATCCGTAATTGTCATCGAGGAACAGAATGAGCCTGAAGGCCTGCAGTCGGATATAGTTTCTAACATTCAAGATGACAAAAAGGAGTCTGAAACAAATAGCTATGACAAGGAACATAGAGAGAGTGCCATAAAAAATCTAATGGCTTTTGCCGTAGACAATAGTGAACCGAACAAGATCGAGAGAACATCAGTCGACCAGTTGAAGAAAGAGTTGATTCATTCTGGTGCTGTCAATGATAGCCATACTGGAGAGTCTGGAGCTGCTGCTTCTCAGACTAGCGCTGTAATTTTGCAAAGGGTAGCCGATAGTGGATCTGTTAAACCTCAACGATACAACCATAGGTGATGTTTCGATCGATTCTAGTAGTCGAACTGATAGTTTGGAAGGCCACTGGGGATCTGTTTCAGGTACGTTACCATCTATTTTGCTTATTAAAGATGTGGGGTGAACTTTTTTGAATTATGCTTTCAGTAGATCATGTAAAAGCTCATATTCTATATAACCCTAGTACAATGTATCTTATATAGACAAATTTGGATTAACATATGTAATTATAATCCAAGAATTAAGTTGATTCTTTGTTTTTGTGCCATTGAACAGTTCTCTCAACCCAATCCGACAACCCGGCTGCCATCGACTCTGAGACTTTACCATCTACCGGATCACAAGCACTTTCAGAAGCAGAGAAAGCAAACATAAAGAAGTCAAAACTGGCATCTGAAGAACATTTGGATGAATCCAGCGAGTTCGAGCCACCATCTTTCATGACATTGGTTGAAGGTGGAGGCAGTCGTGACCCTAAAGACACCGCTGTTGCCGAAACCCCGACAGAACAGAATGCCGAAAACCCTAGAGCCGGCTGGTTCCCTTCACTTACCCATGTGGCCAATGAGTCTCAAGGAAGAAAAAAGAATGAAAAGATCATAGAAAAGGTGGCTAACTGGAATGCAAACAGGCACAGTCCTCTGAATAACTTAGCCAATGATAGTGAACCCAAACCCAAGTCCTCTAACTCGAACCTGAACCCGAACCCAGCTGTCTTGGGTCCAAGAGAGGATAGAACCATGGGTGCCAAAGTGAGCTCAACGGTGGACCCTGAAACACCTATGGCTGAGCCAACCAAAGTTGAAACACAGAAAGAATGGAACTCTCCTCCAGGGTATCCATCTGGTATTAAGAGAGAGAAAAGGAAAGGTAGGCCATTTTGGGTACAGTTTGCATGTTGTTCATCTGTAAGGTAGGCCATACGTGTATCACGCATATATCCGTTTAGGACACATACTCCTTTTTCCACATTCAAATAAGAGTTCCAGTGCCATAACTTTAATTTGTATTCCAATCCTTGTGTACCGTTCATATTTAAATTATATTTATAAAATTTATATATGTAAATAATTTATGTATTTATACAAATTTCTTTAAACATGTATTCAATAAGTTGATAATTTGTTTATGTACATAAGTCATTAAAAGTGTTATTAGAGGCGAGTAAAATTTGACTTGAAAAAATATTTTTTTTAATTTAACTCGATTTGAATTGATTTTGAGTTATAATTTCATAAATTCGATTTGAAAAATTTTCGAAGGTCAAATCAAGTAAACCAACATCAAAATCAAGTAAAAAACAAACTTGATTTTTAATAAATCTTTCAACCTAAAATCACCACGGTTTTAGAATTTAAAAACCTGATTATTAACATCTAAAATCATCAATATAACTCAATAATCAATTGTAATCGTTACTTTAAAAATTAAGAACGGAATATCAAGATCCATTTTTGCATGGAGTTTTCATTGATCTTGAAAACTATACAAAAGATGAGTTTAGCTTGAGTAGAAAAATCAACTAATCAAATGTCATAATAAAAGTGCATTACCTCACTAAAGGGGAAAAATGATAAAGATTTTGAAGAGAATTTGGGAGAAAATGAAAGATTGTTTGAGAAGGATTTGAAAATGAAAGTAATGGGATAAAAAATCAAACTTAACGGTGATTTTGAAGTTTACTAAATAGGCATCAAACAAAAATATGGATATCACATTGACAAGTTTTTTTTTTACGCAGTTTTTTAAAATCTAAGTACTTGAGCACATTTATATAAATCTACCAGCTTCAACACCCAGCTTTAGCCTTTGTTTAATCAATTTCTGAAACAATATAAGGGTGGGAGCAGAGTTATTATCCAGAAGAAACCACGTTTGTGACTATGTTTTTCTAATGGAATATCTCATAAAATCTATCGATGATGCAGATTTACTTGTTCGGAAAATAATTATCATCAACCAGCTGGGAAGTCACACGGCGGTGGTGACTTTGTTCAACAACCTCTGCAAACATATTCCTCCGACCCAAGTACGGAAACTAGGTGAAGAAGAAAAGTATAATAAAAAATAGTAAATTAGAACTTTGTCCTTAAACTACTTTGAATTTATAAAATGGTCCCTAATTAGTATCTTATCTAAAGTTTAGGGGTTAAAGTAAAAATTAAAACATTTTACTAACGTGTCAAGCCATCAAACTAACGGAAGTTAAAGTTTCAGTGACCAAATCTTAATTAAAATAAAACAAAAGTGATTGTATTATATTTTTTTAATCCAGTGACCATAAATTTATAAAACTCAAACTAAAGTGACCAAATGTGTAGTTTACCCTTTAATAAAATATGTTATTGGTGTAGTGGGATAAGGCACTAGATTCCCTTAAGCAAGGTCAGGAGTTCGAACCTGATGTTTACAAATGGAACAAACTATGTTGGGAGGGTCACCATCACCTCTGCAATATCCAATCTGAATTAGTCGATCAATAGATCAGATACCATTGATTAATTCCAAAAGAATAATTAAAATTAGATTTTTAAAATAGGAATTTAACTATCAAATTACAAAATAAAATATTGCACCTCATGAGGCTTCAATTTTGATCATCATTTCATAATGGTTCTCATCTATATTTAATAAATCAGTCTAGTATAATTTCACAATAAATTCAAACTTCAAATTATTTTAATTTTCCAAATTTCCTTACTAAAATTATTTTATGAACTAATTTTAAATTTATTTTTTCCAGAAAATGATGCAACTACCCCCATAACCTTCAATAACTACCTACAACTATTTACCCTAAATTGAGATATTACAAGAATAGAACCAAATAAAGAAACTTTATCTGACAATGATTTTAAAAATAATGTTTTAAAGAAATAAAGAAATAAAATGAGTGTATTAAATATAAGGATGGTGCTATCACGCTCGACGAGTACCGTTAATGATTAGTACCATTAAATTAATTTATAAAATTTTAAATTATAAAATACTAAATGTATAATTATAAATTAGTCAAAAATCTAAACGTACTTTAAATAAAATACAATATTTATATAATATTACTTTTTAGGATAAATTATATCATTGACCACCTAACTATTTATCTCTTTTACTTTAACCATCAATTTTTTAATTTTGTCAATCAGGTCACCTAACTATTTAAATATTGTTAATCAAGCCACCTTCTGTTAAATATTAACGGAAGAGATGACATGGCAATTAATAAAATTTGTATAATTACTCATTTAGTCCCCATTACTTATATATTCTATTAATTTGGTCCTAACTTTTATTTAATTCAATGAATTTAATCATCAATCCGATGGTGACATGTATCACTTTGTGATTGAATTTTTTTAATATTTTTATTTAATAAATTTTACATTCAATCAAATGGTACCACGTGTCACCAATTGAATGAATGAAAAATAAATTAAATCAATAACTGCAGTTGGTGTGGTTTGAACCTGGGACGCAAGCCAAAAACCTATACACCCTAACCACTAAACTAGACCACTAAATTTATCTAGTATACAGAACATAATCTATATAATTTATATAGTTAATGGTAATAAATTACCTTGTAAGGACTCCAACATGAAATAATTGAATAGTATGAACATATAAAATATATATAAACAATTATTATAATTGTTAATAAATGAATATATTTTATTTATATTTTAAATCACATTTAATGCAAAAATTAAAATAAAAGTGAATTTAATATATTATAATTGTAATGTATAATTTTACATATTTTAAATTAATAAATTGTCTTCATTATTCTAATTTTATTGAACAGAAATGTATCATATCTTATATTTTAAATATTATAACATTGATCATATTCTAATCTTATTTAACAACTCTATATTAAAATAGACTAATTCAATAAAATCAAGTTTCCCATAAAATTTTATCCAAATATATAATGAATAAATAATAAACTGTAAAATTATTACTATAACCGGGATATAAACAAGTCAATGCATAAATTAAAATACTTACTAAGATAAACCCTCAATTATCAGGAAAAATCTAAGTCAACGAAGCTCTTCGTTATATTTTAATTATAATATATTAAAATTATTTTTATTTTTAATTTTAATTAAAACTATTTAAAATATAAATAAAATACATTTACATATTAATTAGTTATAATATTTGTGTATGTATATCATATTATCGTATTATTCAATTTTTCCATGTTGGAGTTCTTATTAGGTCATTTCCCTTTTTTTTATTGCCATTAACTATATGTATTATGTTGTGATAATTTTATCATTTGAATGGTGCAGTCTAGTGGTTGAGGTGTTTGCTTTCTCTCTTCATGTCATGGGTTTAAACCACCAACAATTGTCATTAATTGAATTTATTTCTATTCACTTAATTGGTGACATGTGGCACCATTTGATTGGATAGAAAATTTATTAAATTAAATAAAAATATTAAGAAAAAACATCCAATCACATAGTGATACATGTCACCATCTGTTTGAGGATTAAATTTATTGAATTAATTAAAAGTTAGGACCAAATTAATAGAAAATGTAAGTAATGAGGACTAAATGTATAATTATAGAAATTTTATTAACTGCCATGGCATCTCCTTCGTTAATATTTAACGGCATGTGGCTTGATTGACAAGATTTAAATTGGTGACATGATTGATAAAATTGAAAATCGGTGGTTAAAGTAAAAAGGATAAATAGTTAGGTGGTTAAAGGTATAATTTACCCTAAAAAACTAATGTTTTATAAATATTGTATTTTAATTAATTTACATTTAGATTTGTCTCACCCCAATTTAGGGGTTAAATTATAAGTTTCTGAAACTTATAGTCAGTTTTAGAATGTGCAAGAAATTCAGGGACCAAACCTGAATTTACCTATTTTTCTAAAATGTTGAAAAATAAATTCCCCTCCCCCGTGCAATCTGTTTTCCCAAAATGTTTTTCCCAATATCATTCCCCGTTAACCCTCCTTTGTAGCTTCAATTCTCCATTGTCCGGCCACCGTTCGTCGATCAGAAACCACCAATAAACTCACCATCGAATAGTGAACAAAACCCGACCTCTATTCCATCGTGAATCGGCGTCGTTCGTCGTAAAACTCAACCGGAAGCTTCGTCGATTTTAACTCGATCGCCTTTGGTTTTTCGTCGATTCCGGTCGATCCGGGCACCCATTCATCACATCTCCTACACCATCGGACTCACTGTCACCGTGCGCTCAAAACCCGACCAAAATCGTATCGTCATTGTTGCTCCGTCGTCCTCACTTACCGATCACCGTCGGATAAGTTAATACGTTTTAAAATTCTACGATCCGTTATGTTTCGTTGAAAATAACACTTACACGAGAATCCCGAGGTCCCGATCTACAAATCTGGAAATTTCATCGCCGTCGGATGACCGAAGCCGCCGCACGCACCGCACGCGCCACCCCCTGCGAATGGGCTTCGTCTGGCAGATTGGAGAACCAGTTGACCAGCTGGACCGAGCCAAGTCGTTGAGTCGTTGACCGTTGACCGCCGTTGACCATTGACTTTGACCAAAAAGTCAAAATTTTTGAAAAGTCATATTTTATGTTTTTCGACGTCCTGAGTCCAATTCTGAAGTCCGTTTCACCAAATTTGAAACCCGGTAAGCTATTTGTCACTGATTAATCACCTGATTCGAACCATTTGTAACATCTGAGAAGGCACTTGATGGAACATCTGAGAAGGCACATGATGGAACATATGAGAAGGCACTTGATGGAATATCTGAGAAGCTGTTATGTATCTGAGAAATTATTGAAAGTTGATTTCAAGATCGAGGGCGTTCGAATGTAGTTTAAATTATCGATCGATATGGTACGAAAACCGAGGTAATGCATTACTACATTTTCATGCTTTATGTAACATGTTGGTATTGGTAAATACATGAATAAGAAA